GAAGATGTCTTCATATTTAACTCTTATTTTATTTTATAAAGAAGTTTATTTGCATTCCCTTTTGTATTCTAAGGGCCTGGTACAGAGCTTTACAAATAGTAGGTACTCAGGCACCTGTTAGGTAAATGATCACAGAAGCCACTTTTCCCTAAAGGCATTTGCTGAGTCCAACAAATTCCAACCTCCATTTTGATGGTGAAAGAACAGAAATCACCTTCATAAAGGTGGGAAGTCTAACATGAGATGCTCCTTACAGTAAAGGGAAATCTAATAGCTATGCAGTGAGAATGAATTGGAGATAAACCAACTCTTATGAGGAATTTAAGTCTGAGATTAACCTACGTATTCTAGAGAACTTTAAGCCATGACCTTAATTTACTTAACCTGTGTGGCAGTACGCCAGGCACTTGGCAGGAATAAAAAGCAGGTTCTTGTATTATTCATACGAATATTTTTTCAAGTATCATGACCAGCACATAGTCAAAGATAATCAGGCACACAAGGAAATACAACACCATGAGCACAAAACAGCAGAGATATCAAATTGACAAAAAATAAGAACTAACTTTTGCTGTTATTAGTTTGTCAGTATGCATGGAAATTAGGAAGTATACCTCTCTACTTCTTCATAATAGGAATTATAATATATTTGGAGCCAAAAGACAATGAAAATACTGCATACCAAAACTCATGGTAAAAAATGGTACAGCCACTTTAGAAAAGAGTTTGGCAGTTCTTCAGCAAAATAAACATAAGAGTTACCATATGACTCAGCAACTCCACTTCTAGGTATATGCCCAAGAAAAGTGAAACACAGTCACAAAGATGTTCACAGCACCATTATTCACAATAGCCAAATAGTGTAAACAACCCAAATGTTCACCAAATGATGACGGGATAAACAAAACGTGGTATATCCATACAACGGATGTTACTCTGCCACAAAAAGAATGTCAGCTACATGCTAAAACATGAATGAATCTCAAAAAATTATGCTACGAAGTCAAACACAAAAAGTTATATTATATAATTCCATTTGTATCACATAGCCAAAGTAGGCAGATTCATGGAAGCAGACAGCAAATGAATGGTTGCTGGGGCTTGGAGGAGGCGGGTATGGGGAGCAGCTGCTGATGGGGATGAGGTACCTTTTTGTGACGATGAAAATGTTCTGGAATTAGATAATGGTGATGGCTGTGCAACCTTGTGAATACACTAGAAATCACTGAATTATACACCTTAAAAAGGTAAATTTTATGGTACGTGAATTATATTTCAACTTTAAGGGCTTTGTGGGATGCAGGTATACATTTAAGCTATTTATAATCTTAAATGCATATATTAAATGATTATTACTAGTTTGCTGGTAAGAATACTCTCTAGCTTACTTAATATTCTTTTTTTTTTTTGGACAGCATTTCATTCTGTCACCCAGGCTGGAGTGCAGTGGTGCGATCACAGCTCACTGCCACCTCAACCTCCCAGACCCAAACAATCCTTCCATCTCAACCTCCTGTGTAGGTGGGACCACAGGCACATGCCACCATGCCTGGATAAATTTTCTATTTTTTGCAGAGACACAGTCTAGCTGTGTTTCCCAGGCTGCTCTCGAACTCCTAGGCTCAAGTGACCCTCATGCCTCGGCCTCCCAAAGTGCTGGGGTTACGGGCATGAACCACCATGCCCAGCCTAATATTCTTACCAGTAAGAATTCTATACTAGTTTGGTTAATATTCTTAATAGTAAAGATATATTTGAAAATATCTGCAATAAACATTGACTTATAAAACTATAGCAAATTTTATTTTATTTTTTTTAATTTTTATTTTTTGAGAACCCAAAGTTTTTAATGCATTAGAAAATATAGGTAAGTGTAAAGAAAGAAGTAATTTCTCACAATCTTACCACCAATGGCAACCAATATTAACATTTTCCATGTATATAAAATACATGATATTTATTTTCAAAATGGTAACAAGTTGTATATTTTCTTTCATAATTTCTATTTTTAAAATTATACTTTAAGTTCTAGGGTACCTGTGCACAAGTGCAGGTTTGTTACATATGTATACATGTGCCATGTTGGTGTGCTGCATCCATTAACTCATCATTTACACTAGGTATATCTCCTAATGCTATCCTTCCCCACTCCTCCAACCCCACGATAGGCCCCGGTGTGCGATGTTCCCCTTCCTGTGTCCAAGTGTTCTCGTTCAATTCCCACCTATGAGTGAGAACATGTGGTGTTTGGTTTTTTGTCTTTGCGATAGTTTACTGAGAATGATGGATTCCAACTTCATCCATGTCCCTACAAAGGACATGAACTCATCCTTTCTATGGTTGCATAGTATTCCATGGTGTATATGTGCCACATTTTCTTAATCCAGTCTGTCATTGACGGACATTTGGGTTGGTTCCAAGTCTTTGCTATTGTGAATAGTGCCGCAATAAACATACGTGTGCATGTGTCTTTATAGCAGCATGATTTATAATCCTTTGGGTATATACCCAGCAATGGGATGGCTGGGTCAAATGGTATTTCTAGTTCTAGATCCTTGAGGAATCGCCACACCGTCTTCCACAATGGTTGAACTAGTTTACAGTCCCACCAACAGTGTAAAAGTGTTCCTATTTCTTCACATCCTCTCCAGCACCTATTGTTTCCTGACTTTTTAATGATCGCCATTCTAACTGGTGTGAGAGGGTATCTCATTGTGGTTTTGATTTGCATTTCTCTGATGGCCAGTGATGATGAGCATTTTTTCATGTGTCTGTTTGCTATAGCAAAATTTAAAAGAACCAAGTAGAATTCTAGAAATAAAAAATATAATGACCTAATTAAAACCTGATGGATGATTTGACAATGGACTAGACATAGCTGAAGAGAGAAATGATAAACTGGAAGGTAAGTTGGATAATAATTACCCTTGATCATGTAATTAGTATGTTCACCTAAGTGTTGTGAAGTATCAAAATGTCTGCAACTTACCTTCACATAGTTCAGTAGAACATGTCTCTCTATCGATATAATGCATATATAAACATGTTTAGCAACAGAGGGAGATAAGGTGAACATGGCAAAATGTTAACAATCGGTGAATCTATGTAAAGGGCATATATTCAGTGTACAACTGTATACTCTTGGTTTCCAAACACAACATGCTATTATTTAATTCTACCTGGGTGATGGCTTGTTCTCAGTTTCCTTCATTGGCCCTCCAACTTTTTCTTAATCTCTTTGTTATAATGGCCTAGGGCTCAGGCCTTCGACTTCTCTCCATGATTACGCTTAGTCCGTTGATCATTTCATTTCTTCTCATAGTTTTAAATAACCACCAAATCCTAACTGCCTGCCTCTGTTCCAATGTAGACTCCCTCACAAACTCGGCTTTCACATCCAGGTGCCTACTTGGCTATCTAACAGATAATTGAAATTAACACATCCAAAATTGAATGTCTCTAAATTTTCTCTACCTACAGCCTTCCTCACCTCAGTTGATGGCAATGTCATCTGAATTTCAGTTGCTTGGTCCAATACTTTGAATTTGTTATTGACTCTTCTTTCTCTTATAAATATTTTGTCCAAACCATTAGTGAAATCCCTGAACTAATAACTTCTCACTCACCCTCACTATGCCCTCCCTGCTTTGAGCCATCATCAGTTCTCATCTGGATACCTGCAACAGCCTGCTAAGTGGTTTACCTGCCTCACCTCATGTTCTTGTACCAGTTCTCCTGCCAAAGCAAGAGCAATCATTTAGAATCAAAGTTGCCAGGCGCAGTGGCTCTCGCCTGTAATCCTAGCACTTTGGGAGGTCAAGGCGGGTGGATCACGAGGTCAAGGGATTGAGACCATCCTGCCCAACATGGTGAAACCCTGTCTCTACTAAAAATACAGAAATTAGCTGGGCATGGTGGCGGGCACCTGTAATGCAGCTACTCAGGAGGCTGAGGCAGGAGAATCGCTTGAACTCGGGAGGTGGAGGCTGCAGTGAGCCAAGATTGCGCCACTGCACTCCAGCCTGGGTGAGAAAGCAAGTCTGTGTCTCAAAAAAAAAAAAAAAAAAAAAGAATCAAAGGTCACGTATCATTTTATATCCTAAACTCCATCCTATTTTTTATTTTCACAGAGTAGAAGCCAAAATCTCAAACAATGTTTGTTTTTGTTTTTGTTTTTTTTTTTGAGATGGATTCTCACTCTGTTGCCCAGTGGCTGGAGGGCGGTGGCGCGATCTCGGCTCACTGCAACCTCCGCCTCCTGAGTTCAAGCAATTCTCTGCCTCAGCCTCCCCAGTAGCTGGGATTACAGGTGCCCACCACCATGCCCGGCTAATTTTTTTTTTTTTTGTATTTTTAATAGAGATGGGATTTCACCATCTTGCCCAGGCAGGTCTTGAACTCCTGACCTTGTGATCCACCTGCCTTGGCCTCCCCAAGTGCTGGGATTACAGATGTGAGCCACCACACCCAGTCTCTAACAGTGGTTTTTAAGAACCTATGTCATCTGTCATCTTTGCTCCATGACCTTGATCTCTTGTCTACTCTCCCCTTTGCTCACTTCACTCCAGCCACACCAGCCTTCTTGCCATTCTTCAACCACGCCAAATTCCTCCAGCTTTAAAATCCTTTCACTGACAATTCCTTTAACTCCTAATCCAGTCTGCATGACGAAAACCAGTTTCAATTTGTCTGGGAGCAGGATCCTGGCATTAGTATATTTTAAAAATGTTTTGTATGTCTTCAAAATAATCAGGATTATTTTAGCCTTGAGTTGGTAATTGTTGAAACTGAGTGGTGGGCACATGGAGCCCATTACACTATTCTCTCAGACAAATATAAAACAACAACAGCAAAAAAGTTTCTGAGGTGATTCCTGTGTGCAGCAGGGTTGGGAATCACTGGTCTGTAATCCCCAAATTGGATTGTTTTGCCCATAAAGAACTGAGACATTTCTATTTGAAAGGCTGAATTTAAAATGAATTAAAAAGATACACATAAGATGAAAAATATCAAATTTATTTTCTAAAATAGAATAAAAGGATGGATTTGAATTCACTTTGCAATATACATGGTCAGTAAAAACATTTGCCCCATGTCCTGCTTGTTTCCATTTAACTCCCAACACTAGCCTCTGGAAGAAAGAATACATTTCTGGCCCTTGGTTTGCAGAACCTAAAACTTGCAAAAGAACGTGTGAAATGTATACCCCAAGCTCGATCCTCCTAGGTCACCTCAGAGGCTTGTTAACAAGCTCCATACAGTTGAAAGGTAAAGAGCTTCTTTCTGCCTCCTTATCCAAAAGCTCTTGAATAGTCATTTGCAGTTTGAGGTCCTACCACAATTTTCACTAATACTTAACCCATTTGAGGTACAGAGCATCAAAGAATGAAATTCTCTTCTGTTTCAAATGAACTAATATCCAAATCTGAAATTATCAAAGGTGACATCTTTCCCTTTTAAAAAATAAACCACCCAAATGAAATTATTAGTTTGAAAGATACTTGTTAATAAACCTGAGAAGGAAAAATTAAACCATCCCCTTTTTTTGCCATAGTAATATTAATTTATACAATATTAAGTGTTGGGGAAGTGGAACCGCACGAGTTCTATCAAAAATAGATATTGTAATGATTAGATCTGATCCGAGCTCCCCTCAGAAGACTGGGGGGCCTGCGAGGACTGGCTTATTTGTGAACTATTCAGACTCATGCTCATCAGGTGGTTATTGATGACATTAAGTTCTTGGATCACTGTGCTCAGATCTTCATGTAATCTAGCGATTGCACATTTTACCTCCCTTAAAAGAACACTAATGGAATTCTCTGCTTCAGGTTCCCTGGGGAAGTCTTTGGTTGACTGAAAACCAGAGCAGGACAGAGGGATGAACTGGTCTACATTTTGGGTGGAAAACTCTCCCCAGTGCCTACTAGAAATATGACTTACATTCTTTTTAGCAGAGTCAGAGTTATTTGGAAGAATTCCCAGTAGATTGAGGCTATCATTTTCCTCTGCATCAGAACACACTGGGCCCCTAGAAGCAAAGGAGTGATGCAGCTTGGTTGTCTTATCTTCCTCTTTAAAGGAGGTAGAAGACAACTGTTGATGGGACAAAGTCCAGAAGGAAGGTCCAGCCAGAATCGGGGATAAGAGATGAGCTGACTTCTCTGGAGAGGCTAAATCAGGAGATGACATGGATAAAGGAGAAAAGGAAGATGCTCCCTCAGAGGCAGTTGAAACTAAAATGTGTAAATGAGAGAAAAAGATTTATGCAACATACAAATGAGAGTAATAGCTAAAATAATTTTATAATGTAAAAGCCTATCTGGAAGGGCTCAACATAAATAAACTGCTTAGAATTTTAAATGTTAACTATTCATAATAAGCTTAAAAAAACCCAAAGCAGGAAACTAAGAAACTCTACAGATGTATTGTATATCAATAATACCATGGAAATGAAACTAAAATAGAATTATCAATATTCATCTTGACTCATCTTGACTCAAACCCTGCCCAACATATTTTTACACTAAACTTAATCAGAGAGAGCAGAAAAGTATTAAACCCCATTCTACTGACTGCCAGCATTTTAAGTTGGTATTTAAAGTAGAAAGTGTGAGAAACCTGTAACAGATTCCTTCAACTTTTTTTATTTTTTTTCCTATAGAGATTATTATGGCAAAATGAACTACCAACTACAAGTACCCAAAAGTTAGTGAAATAAATATTTTTCTTTCTATAGTGAAATATAATCAGGACTGAAGTCCAACACATCTGAGATCTAGAACACTTTAGCACATGTATATAATCATTTTTTTCTCACCAAGAAACTATAAATGAAGTAAAAAGCATTCTAAGCCTTTTTTTTTTTTCCATAAAATTACAGATTTGGGAAAGTTTTTACTTCCCTTTAGGCAACATCACATTAAATCTCCCACACTTCATTCTAAATCATTATTTCCCAAACTTTTCTGAGAAACAGTGTGTTCCTTCAGATGTTAGAAGATGTGTTGTAAAAACAGGCTTCATAGTCAATACAACTGGGCAATTGTATATTGTGCTTCCCAAAAGGAGATTAACAATGTCCATCAGTGCATTTAAAGTTCTGAGAAATCTTCAGTAATTTATTTAAATGTTTTGTAAGCTTTCTTAAACATGGAACTTTTTTCTTTTCTTCCTGGAATGTCTATTACATTCACTTATGATATGTGATACAAATTGGTGGAATCCAGTTCTAAACTCTTTGCAATGAACTCTGAACCTGCTACTTAAAAAAAGTTTCATTGTAAGTCACAGAAGAGGGAAATTGATGCTTACTAATGAGAACACATGGCTTATTTTTCTACATTATTTTATTTTGCTTTACATATTCAGGTCCCTTCTAAACTAAATTGGACCTCCTGTAAAAACTATGGCCAGGACAGGCAGCTTCTATTTTTTGTTTCAAAGCTTTCCATGGCCTATCTCCAGTTCTCAGGAAAAATTCCAATCACAAAACTTTTTTGGGGATGAAATGTATTCTCAGCTGATGCAGCAGCAGGGACATGAAAAGGAAAGCAGGAACTTCATCAGCACATGGTCAAGAAAAGCCAAGAACAGTTAGGAATCTAGGTCAGGCTAATCGAGACAGCCTATCTTTGGATTACAAAGGTGGAAAGATGGTAGTGGGCATGTTGACGATGACAGCCATGAGAAGTAAATGTTTTGAGAACCTACATGTCTGCAAAATGTCTATACTCTACTTTTAGGCTTAATGATAGTTTGGCTAGATAAAGAATTCTAGGTCAGAAATCCTTCTTTCAGAATTTTGAAGGCCACATTTCACTGTTTTCTTGTTTCTAGTATTGCTGTTCAGGGGTTGGAGCCATTCGAATTCTTACTCATTGCATGTAACCTGTTTTATCTCTGAAGTGTTACAGAATTTCCTCTTTGTTTCAGAGGGTTTGGAAGCTTCCCGGTGATGTGCCCTGAAGTGAGACTATTTTCATTCACTGAGGTCAATTCAATCAGGCAACCTATTTCCTTCAGCTCCAGAAAATTATTCTAAATGATTTAATCACTTACTTTCTCCTCTGTGTTTTCTCTGTTGTCTCTTTCAGAACCTCCTCTTGTCAGATGTTAGATCTCTTGGACTAGTCTTCTAATTTTCTTACTTTTCTTTCCCATTTTTCCCTACCTCCGTCTTTTTGCTTTACTTCCATGTAGATTTTATCAACTTTAGTTTCCAATCCTCATTGATTTCTTATATTTCTGCTATTATATTTTTAAATTTCCAAGAGCTCTTTTTTTTTTTTTTTTTTTTTTTTTTTTTTATTTTTTTTTTTTTTTTTTTTTTTTTTTTTTTTTTTTTTTTTTTTTTTTTGGTTTTCAGAAATTCTTTTTGTAATGTCTTGTTCTTGTTTCATATACTGTATTCTCTTATTTCTTTCAGGATAATAATAAGCTTTTGAAAAAGTTTTCCTTTCCCTTCATAGTGTATGTTTCCTCAAAATTATTTTTCTTTGTTTTTGTTTCAGTGTTTTATATTAGAAGTTTTTTTCAGATGTTTGGTACTCCTTGCTGTCTGCTTATGTTTAAGGATTAAAAGTTGAAAGGAACTTTGAGTGTGTGCATGACACTTGTCAACTTTGAGCTTCAGTGACTAGTCATTTGTTGGGGAACCACTAATGTCATTATCTTTAGTTCTTTCCTCTAGGCCAGTGAGGCTCTAGGAGAAAAGTTGTCCTGTCTCCTACCTAGAGGGTAAAGGTGTAGTTACCAGGGTGCTGGGAGGCCAGCAGGGGGAGGGGGCTGCAGCATTCAGCATTTGGTTTACATATCATCACATAATCCTGTGGTTTTGGTGACAGTGCCCACACTTGTAACTCCACCTGGCATCTCTCATTTCAGAGACCTTCCATCTGCCCTCTCAAACAAATCTTCAGGCTCTGCCACAGGTTGCAGAGGTAGGTGGGTATTCATGGTAATTGTTCACCTAAGGACTTAACTACTTTTCAAATGCCTGGTTTGTTTGTTTGTTTGTTTGTTTTTTCTTTTTTTAGAGACAGGACCTTGCTCTGTCACCCAGACGAGTGCAGTGGTACAGTCGTGACTCACTGCAGCCTCAACCTAGGCTCAAGCGACCCTCCCGCCTCAGCCTTCCTAGTAGCTGAGACTGCAGGTGTGGGCCACCAATGCCTGGCTCTTTTCTTTAATTTTTTGTAGAGAAGGGGTCTTGCTACATTAGCCAGGCTGGTCTCAAACTCCTGGCCTCAAGTGATCCTCACTCCACAGCCTCCCAAAGCTGGGACTACCTCTGTGAGCCACTGTGCCTGGCCCCCTCAAATAGTTGTTTTTAAATTCTCTTTGTTTAGCACCAGATGGAGTAGGTTTTATAACTCCGTTTTAAATATGAGGCAAAGGAATCTGAAAGAGGCTAAAAATCTTTCCCAAGACCACAAGACTAGAAAAGGTCAAAGATGGGATTCAAATTCAAGTTTCTCTGATGTCATAGAATATGATCTTAATCACAATTCTATACTTCCACACAATTCTATTACATTAGAATTATTTTTACTGTATTATAAAATTATGTTAAATTTTGAGTATAAAATTTAGAAGGCAGGTAACCAGGACAGTGAGGAGACTTGACATCTTATCTATAAGAAATGGTTGATGGATATACTAATCTTTACCCAAAAAGAGATAGTAGAAGGATGAGAGGCTATATCTAATTATTTTAAGACAATCAGAAAACCTTAATAATAATACCTTCCATTACTCATAGTTTGCAGGAGCTAGAACTGGGATCAATGGGTAGAACTTACAGAAAACGGATTTTAGCCCAATTAATAATAAAAAAAAAACTTTCTCATTGTCATGGTTCTTCACACACAAAAATAATAATGGTGAGTGATGCTCAGAGCTCATGCACAGCCCGAATAACCATTTGGCAGGGATATTTGAGGCAAGATCGGTGCATCACTTTACAGAACTTATCTATTCTTGATGAGATTCTAGGACTCGACTGGGTGTGGTGGCTCACACCTGTAATCCCAGCACTTTGGGAGGTCGAGGTGGGAGGATAGCTTGGGCCCAGGAATTTGAGAACAGCCTGAGCAACGTGGCGAAACCCCTTCTCTACAAAAAGTACCAAAATTAGTTGGGCATGTTGGCGTGTACCTGTGGTCCCACCTACTTGGGAGACTAAAGTGGGAGGATCACCTAAGCCTGACAGTTTGAGACTGCAGTAAGCTGTGGTCATGCCAGGGCACTCCAACCTGGGCAAAAGGGTGAGACCCTGTCTCCAAAAAAAAAAAAAAAAAAAAAAAAGATTCTAGGACTTAAAACATATCTGTTAAAGTACTAAGAAAAGATTCTAGAAATAGAATGTGAGCTCCCTCTAGTCAGAAAGAATAACTTAATAAGAAACATTTTAAGTAGGCCAAGAGGGAAATAATATTTGAGTCAAATATTACTATCATGTTATTTATTTATTTATTTATATTTATTTATTTTTGAGACAGAGTCTTGCTCTGTTGCCCAGGCTGGAGTGCAGTGGCACAATCTCAGCTCACTGCAAGCTCCGCCTCCCGGGTTCCCGCCATACTCCTGCCTCAGCCTCCCAAGCAGCTGGGATTACAGGCACCCGCCACCACGCCTGGCTAATTTTTATTTTGTATTTTTTGTAGAGACGGGGTTTCACCGAGTTAGCCAGGATGGTCTCGATCTCCTGAACTCGTGATCTGCCCGTCTCGGCCTCCCAAAGTTCTGGGATTACAGGCGTGAGCCACTGCGCCTGGCCCCCATGTTATCTTATATATTTAAAGATATGCAGTTAGGTTAGTCACACGTATATGCTGTGACTAAAAACCTGGTATTTAACTTGATGCTGGTGGTTTCTCAAAATGTGACTGCAGTAGCATCACCTGGGAATTTGTCAGTAATGAATTTCTTGGGTCCCAGATCTACTAAATCAGAAACTGGGGGGTTGGGCCCAGAAAACTAAGTTGTAACAAGCTGCCAGGTGTTTCTGAGGCATGCTGAAGTCTGGGACCCACTGCTTTCTACTATTTAGCCACCTTTCTTTTGCCTTATGACTACAACTGCTGATGAAATCGCTTATCATTGTTTACAGTTTTTCAGTTTTGAGTCATAGGCTACATGATGCTTTTGCTTATAAAAAGCCACTTCATCTATAATTGCCGCATACCAATTTACTTTTGTTTCCAAACACTCCACAGCTGTACACACACTTCAA